CTCTGCTGTTATTAAAGCTAGACTTTAAACAACATATCTCTGCTGTTATTAAAGCTAGACTTTAAACAACATATCTCTGCTGTTATTAAAGCTAACTTAAAAACATATCTCTGCTGTTACTAAAGCTAGACTTTAAACAACATATCTCTGGTATTACTAAAGCTAGACTTTAAACAACATATCTCTGCTGTTACTAAAGCTAGACTTTAAACAACATATCTCTGGTATTACTAAAGCTAGACTTTAAACAACATATCTCTGCGTTACTAAAGCTAGACTTTAAAACAACATATCTCTGGTATTACTAAGCTAGACTTTAAACACATATCTCTGCTGTTACTAAAGCTAGACTTTAAACAACATATCTCTGCTGTTACTAAAGCTAGACTTTAAACAACATATCTCTGCTGTTACTAAAGCTAGACTTTAAACAACATATCTCTGGTATTACTAAAGCTAGACTTTAAACAACACATCTCTGCTGTTACTAAAGCTAGACTTTAAACAACATTCTCTGCTGTTACTAAAGCTAGACTTAAAACAACATATCTCTGCTGTTACTAAAGCTAGACTTTAAACAACATATCTCTGCTGTTACTAAAGCTAGACTTTAAACAACATATCTCTGGTATTACTAAAGCTAGACTTTAAACAACATATCTCTGGTATTACTAAAGCTAGACTTTAAACAAGATATCTCTGGTATTACTAAAGCTAGACTTTAAACAAGATATCTCTGCTGTTACTAAAGCTAGACTTTAAACAACATATCTCAGGTATTACTAAAGCTAGACTTTAAACAACATATCTCTGGTATTACTAAAGCTAGACTTTAAACAACATATCTCTGGTATTACTAAAGCTAGACTTTAAACAAGATATCTCTGCTGTTACTAAAGCTAGACTTTAAACAACATATCTCTGGTATTACTAAAGCTAGACTTTAAACAACATATCTCTGCTGTTACTAAAGCTAGTCTTTAAATAGGAACAAGTCACTACATTCTTTGGGTTATCCTAGATAATTTACACGTTAAAATATATGATAATTGTACTAGTATGTACCTGTCCAAGGTTCGATCCCCAGTACGGGTGAAAAATTAAGACGTGTTTCCTAAGACACCTGCTGTCCCTGTTCACCTATCAGTAAGTAGGTACCCGAGTGTTAGTCAACCGGTGTGGGTCGCATCCTGGAGACAAAACTGACCTAATTTTCCCAAAATATCTACATATATCTGTATGTCGCTGGTGTCAGCTATGGTCTGTATAAGTTGTATCGTGTATTTGTAAATCTAAATGATACGGGTTGAATCCCGGGGAGGGTGGAAAATTGTAGTGAAGATTCCTAACTGCTTGTCTATTCTCCTTGCAGGAGATGCGGGTTAGTATGCTGGTATGGGTGGCATCCTGGGGTCGCTACTAACAACATCAGGGGACTGTGTAAATTCCTAATTTAATTAGTCACTGAACAATCCTAGATAGGTATCCCAGTATTGTATAACCCAGGTCCACTGTACCTCAATGATCCTAGATAGGTATCCCAGTATTGTATAACCCAGGTCCACTGTACCTCAATGATCCTAGATAGGTATCCCAGTATTGTATAACCCAGGTCCACTGTACCTCAATGATCCTAGATAGGTATCCCAGTATTGTATAACCCAGGTCCACTGTACCTCAATGATCCTAGATAGGTATCCCAGTATTGTATAACCCAGGTCCACTGTACCATCAGATGATGTGCCGGTAGATCAGGTATCCACAGTATTGTATAACCCAGGGTCCACTGTACCTCAATGATCCTAGATAGGTATCCCAGTATTGTATAACCCAGGTCCACTGTACCTCAATGATCCTAGATAGGTATCCCAGTATTGTATAACCCAGGTCCACTGTACCTCAATGTATCCTAGATAGGTAGTCCACACAGTGTGTGGTAGTTCCAGGCCACTGTACCTCAATGATCCTAGATAGGTATCCCAGTACCTACACAGTGGTGGTGGTGGTGGTGGTGGTGTCAGGGGCCTACACAGTGGTGGTGGTGGTGGTGGTGTCAGGGGCCTACACAGTGTGGTGGTGGTGGTGGTGTCAGGGGCCTACACAGTGGTGGTGGTGGTGGTGGTGTCAGGGGCCTACACAGTGGTGGTGGTGGTGTCAGGGGCCTACACAGTGGTGGTGGTGGTGGTGTCAGGGGCCTACACAGTGGTGGTGGTGGTGTCAGGGGCCTACACAGTGGTGGTGGTGGTGTCAGGGGCCTACACAGTGGTGGTGGTGGTGTCAGGGGCCTACACAGTGGTGGTGGTGGTGTCAGGGGCCTACACAGTGGTGGTGGTGGTGTCAGGGGCCTACACAGTGGTGGTGGTGGTGTCAGGGGCCTACACAGTGGTGGTGGTGGTGTCAGGGGCCTACACGGTGGTGGTGGTGGTGTCAGGAGCCTACACAGTAGTGGTGGTGGTGTCAGGGGCCTACACAGTAGTGGTGGTGGTGTCAGGAGCCTACACAGTGTGGTGATGGTGTCAGGGGCCTACACAGTGTGGTTGTGGTGTCAGGGGGCCTACACGTGGTGGTGTGTGTCAGGGGCCTACACGGTGGTGGGTGGGTGGTGGTGTGCAGGGGCCTACACGTGTGTGGTGGTGGGGCAGGGGCCTACACAGTGGTGGTGGTGGTGTCAGGGGTCTACACAGTGATGGTGGTGTCAGGGGCCTACACAGTGTGGTGGTGGTGGTGGTGGTGTCAGGGGCCTACAGTGTGGTGGTGGTGTCAGGGGGCCTACACAGTGTGGTGGTGGTGTCAGGGGGCTACACAGTGTGTGGTGGTGGTGTGTGGTGGTGTGTCAGGGGCCTACAGTGTGGTGGTGGTGTCAGGGGCCTACACAGTGGTCGTGGTGTCAGGGGGCCTAAACAGTGGTGGTGATGTCAGGGGGCCTATACAGTGGTGGTGATGTCAGGGGGCCTATACAGTGGTGGTGATGTCAGGGGGCCTATACAGTGGTGGTGATGTTCAGGGGGGCCTACACAGTGTGGTGGTGTTGGGGCCTACACTGTGGTGGTTGGTGTCAGGGACCTACACATATTGGTGGTTCAGTGCCTACACAGTGGGTGGTGTCAGGGCCTACACAGTATGGTGGTGGGTCCAGTGGTGTCCTACACATTTGGTGGTGGTGTCAGGGGCCTACACAGTATGGTGGTGGTGTCAGGGGCCTACACAGTATGGTGGTGGTGTCAGGGGCCTACACAGTATGGTGGTGGTGTCAGGGGCCTACACAGTATGGTGGTGGTGTCAGGAGCCTACACAGTATGGTGTCAAGGGTCTACACAGTATGGTGGTGTCAAGGGCCTACACAGTATGGTGGTGGTGTCAGGGGCCTACACAGTATGGTGGTGGTGTCAGGGGCCTACACAGTATGGTGGTGGTGTCAGGGGCCTACACAGTAGGTGGTGGTGTCAGGCCTACACAGTGTGTGGTGGTGTCAGGGCCTACACAGTAGTGGTGGTGGTGTCAGGGCCACACAGTAGTGTGGTGGTGTCAGACCTACACAGTGGTGTGGTGTCAGGGGCCTACACATGTGGTGGTGTCAGTCCAGGGGGTGGTGTCAGACCTACACAGTGTGGTGGTGCGTGGTGGTGTCAGGTGGCCTACACAGTGTGGGTGTCAGGGGCCTACACAGTGTGGTGTGTCAGTGGCCTACACAGTGTGGTGTCAGGACCTACACAGTGTGGTGGAGGTGTCGGGGCCTACACAGTGGTGGTGTGTGTCCCAGGGGGGCCTATCACAGTGTGGTGTGGTGTCATGGGGGGCCTACACATGTGGTGGTGGTGTCAGGGGGCCACACAGTGTGGTGGTGGTGTCAGGGGGGCCTACACAGTGTGGTGGTGGTGTCAGGGGGGCCTAAACACAGTGGTGGTGGTGGTGTCAGGGGCCTACACAGTGGTGGTTGTGGCGTCAGTACCTACACAATGGTGGTCTCAGTACCTACACAGTGGTGGTGTCAGTACCTACGCAGTGGTGGTGCCAGGACCTACGCAGTGGTGGTGTCAGGACCTACAGTGGTAGTGGTGTCAGTACCTACACAGTGGTGGTGTCAGGACATACAGTGGTGTCAGTACCTACACAGTGGTGGTGTCAGTACCTACACAGTGGTGGTAGTGTCAGTACCTACACAGTGGTGGTAGTGTCAGTACCTACACAGTGGTGGTAGTGTCAGTACCCACACAGTGGTGATAGTGTCAGTACCTACACAGTGGTGGTGGTGTCAGTACCTACACAGTGGTGGTGGTGTCAGTACCTACACAGTGGTGGTGGTGTCAGTACCTACACAGTGGTGGTGGTGGTGTCAGTACCTACACGGTGGTGGTGGTGGTGGTGTCAGTACCTATACAGTGGTGTCAGTACCTACACAGTGGTGGTGGTGGTGTCAGTACCTACACAGTGGTGGTGGTGGTGTCAGTACCTACACAGTGGTGGTGGTGGTGTCAGTACCTACACAGTGGTGTCAGTACCTACACAGTGGTGGTGTCAGTACCCACACAGTGATGGTGTCAGTACCTACACAGTGGTGGTGTCAGTACCCACACAGTGGTGGTGTCAGTACCCACACAGTGGTAGTGGTGTCAGTACCTACACAGTGGTGGTGGTGTCAGTACCTACACAGTGGTGGTGTCAGTACCCACACAGTGGTGGTGTCAGTACCCACACAGTGGTAGTGGTGTCAGTACCCACACAGTGGTAGTGGTGTCAGTACCTACACAGTGGTGGTGTCAGTACCTACACAGTGGTGGTGTCAGTACCCACACAGTGATGGTGTCAGTACCCACACAGTGGTGGTGTCAGTCCCACACAGTGGTGGTGTCAGTACCCACACAGTGGTAGTGGTGTCAGTACCCACACAGTGGTAGTGGTGTCAGTACCCACACAGTGGCATGGCAACTTTCACAGTGTCACATAACAGTGGCTGGTACACACGTACCTGACCTACGTACATCACGTACAACCCATCTTACCTCCTTGGGAGTGGGCATATCTGCTGGTTTGATGATTGTGATGGTAATGGTGGTGGCAGCAGTGGTCAGCAGCAGCAGCGTAGTGTTGTCACCACTGATGGCAGAGTCACACTGAACCAGCTACTGGTGGTACACTTCCCTGTACCTACCCTCACACTCACTAGATTTATATTATTTTTCCACATTATTCTGGTGTTTTATGGGTTATAACTACACTGTAGTGTAGCTACAGTGTTACACTGTGTATACACTGTCTACCCACTGATGTATACAGTAATGGGGATAATTTATATGTAAATAAGATAAAAATTCGTCTGCTGGTTCCCTACCACCCCTCCCTCCATTCCTATCATTTTTCCACATTATTCTAGTGTTTTATGGGTTATAACTACACTATAGTGTAGCTACAGTGTTACACTGTGTATACACTGTCTACCCACTGATGTATAAAGTAATGGGGATAATTGGTGTGGAAATAAGACAAAATATTCGCTCGTTACTTCCCCACCTTAGCCTAGTATATCCAAAAATTTCCTTCATATTTTTATTTTAGCTCATTATATTGTCTTTTTTTACACCATATATTGTAAAAAAAAATTGTGTAAATCTTGCTTATGGAATTTCTACTTTATATTGTTAGGATTGTCTGTAAATTACCTTCGTGAGTACTTGAGTGCTCCCAGGGACCAGGAGCTGGAGACCAACGTGTGGAGGCCAGGAGCTGGAAACCAACGTGTGGAGGCCAGGAACTGGAGACCAACGTGGAGGCCAGGAGGTGGAGACCAGCGTGTGGAGGCCAGGAGGTGGAGACCAACGTGGAGGCCAGGAGGTGGAGACCAGCGTGTGGAGGCCAGGAGCTGGAGACCAACGTGTGGAGGCCAGGAGGTGGAGACCAACGTGGAGGCCAGGAGGTGGAGACCAGCGTGTGGAGGCCAGGAGCTGGAGACTAACGTGTAGAGGCCAGGAGCTGGAGACCAACGTGTGGATGAAGTCACTCTGGCATCTTTGGCATTGGTGAAAATGATACCAGTGTGTGTTGGCACAGCTGAGTGCCACCACCACTACCACCACCACTAGCTGACGTAGCCACCACCATCACCACTAGCTGACGTAGCCACCACCACCACCACTAGCTGACGTAGCCACCACCACCACCACTAGCTGACGTAGCCACCACCACTAGCTGACGTAGCCACCACCATCACCACTAGCTGACGTAGCCACCACCATCACCACTAGCTGACGTAGCCACCACCACCACCACTAGCTGACGTAGCCACCACCATCACCACTAGCTGACGTAGCCACTAACCACCACCACTAGCTGACGTAGCCACCACCATCACCACTAGCTGACGTAGCCACCACCACCACCACTAGCTGACGTAGCCACCACCATCACCACTAGCTGACGTAGCCACCACCATCACCACTAGCTGACGTAGCCACTACCACCACCACTAGCTGACGTAGCCACCACCATCACCACTAGCTGACGTAGCCACCACCACCACCACTACTGACGTAGCCACCACCACCACCACTAGCTGACGTAGCCACCACCACCACCACTAAGCTGACGTAGCCACCACCACCACCACTAGCTGACGTAGCCACCACCACCACCACTAGCTGACGCAGCCACCACCACCACCACTAGCTGACGTAGCCACCACCATCACCACTAGCTGACGTAGCCACCACCATCACCACTAGCTGACGTAGCCACTACCACCACCACTAGCTGACGTAGCCACCACCATCACCACTAGCTGACGTAGCCACCACCACCACCACTAGCTGACGTAGCCACCACCACCACCACTAGCTGACGTACCACCACCACCACCACTACTGACGTAGCCACCACCATCACCACTAGCTGACGTAGCCACCACCATCACCACTAGCTGACGTAGCCACCACCATCACCACTAGCTGACGTAGCCACCACCACCACCACTAGCTGACGTAGCCACCACCATCACCACTAGCTGACGTAGCCACCACCACCACCACTAGCTGACGCAGCCACCACCACCACCACTAGCTGACGTAGCCACCACCATCACCACTAGCTGACGTAGCCACCACCACCACCACTAGCTGACGCAGCCACCACCACCACCACTAGCTGACGTAGCCACCACCATCACCACTAGCTGACGTAGCCACCACCACCACCACTAGCTGACGTAGCCACCACCATCACCACTAGCTGACGTAGCCACCATCACCACTAGCTGACGTAGCCACCACCACCACCACTAGCTGACGTAGCCACCACCACCACCACCACTAGCTGACGTAGCCACCACCACCTCCACTAGCTGACGTAGCCACCACCATCACCACTAGCTGACGTAGCCACCACCATCACCACTAGCTGACGTAGCCACCACCATCACCACTAGCTGACGTAGCCAACACCATCACCACTAGCTGACGTAGCCACCACCATCACCACTAGCTGACGTAGCCACCACCACCACCACTAGCTGACGTAGCCACCACCATCACCACTAGCTGACGTAGCCACCACCACCACCACTAGCTGACGTAGCCACCACCACCACCACTAGCTGACGTAGCCACCACCACCACCACTAGCTGACGTAGCCACCACCACCACCACTAGCTGACGTAGCCACCACCACCACCACTAGCTGACGTAGCCACCACCATCACCACTAGCTGACGTAGCCACCACCATCACCACTAGCTGACGTAGCCACCACCATCACCACTAGCTGACGTAGCCACCACCATCACCACTAGCTGACGTAGCCACCACCACCACCACTAGCTGACGTAGCCACTACCACCACCACCACCACTAGCTGACGTAGCCACCACCACCACCACTAGCTGACGTAGCCACCATCACCACTAGCTGACGTAGCCACCATCACCACTAGCTGACGTAGCCACCATCACCACTAGCTGACGTAGCCACCACCATCACCACTAGCTGACGTAGCCACCACCATCACCACTAGCTGACGTAGCCACCACCACCACTAGCTGACGTAGCCACTACCACCACCACTAGCTGACGTAGCCACCACCACCACCACTAGCTGACGTAGCCACCACCATCACCACTAGCTGACGTAGCCACCATCACCACTAGCTGACGTAGCCACCACCATCACCACTAGCTGACGTAGCCACCACCACCACCACTAGCTGACGTAGCCACTACCACCACTAGCTGACGTAGCCACCACCACTAGCTGACGTAGCCACCACCACCACCACTAGCTGACGTAGCCACCACCATCACCACTAGCTGACGTAGCCACCACCATCACCACTAGCTGACGTAGCCACCACTAGCTGACGTAGCCACCACCATCACCACTAGCTGACGTAGCCACCACCCACCACCACTAGCTGACGTAGCCACTACCACCACCACCACCACTAGCTGACGTAGCCACCACAACCACCACTAGCTGACGTAGCCATCACCACTAGCTGACGTAGCCACCATCACCACTAGCTGACGTAGCCACCATCACCACTAGCTGACGTAGCCACCACCATCACCACTAGCTGACGTAGCCACCACCATCACCACTAGCTGACGTAGCCACCACCACCACCACTAGCTGACGTAGCCACTACCACCACCACCACCACTAGCTGACGTAGCCACCACCACCACCACTAGCTGACGTAGCCACCACCACACCACTAGCTGACGTAGCCACCACCATCACCACTAGCTGACGTAGCCACCACCATCACCACTAGCTGACGTAGCCACCACCACCACCACTAGCTGACGTAGCCACTACCACCACCACCACTAGCTGACGTTGCCACCACCACCACCACTAGCTGACGTAGCCACTACCACCACCACCACCACCACCACTAAGCTGACGTAGCCACCCACCATCACCACTAGCTGACGTAGCCACCACCACCACCACTAGCTGACGTAGCCACTACCACCAACACCACCACTAGCTGACGTAGCCACCACCATCACCACTAGCTGACGTAGCCACCACCATCACCACTAGCTGACGTAGCCACCACCATCACCACTAGCTGACGTAGCCGCCACCACCACCACCACTAGCTGACGTAGCCACCACCACCACTAGCTGACGTAGCCACCACCACCACCACTAGCTGACGTAGCCACCACCACCACTAGCTGACGTAGCCACCACCACCACCACTAGCTGACGTAGCCACTACCACCACCACTAGCTGACGTAGCCACCACCATCACCACTAGCTGACGTAGCCACCACCACCACCACTAGCTGACGTAGCCACCACCACCACCACTAGCTGACGTAGCCACCACCACCACCACTAGCTGACGTAGCCACCACCATCACCACTAGCTGACGTAGCCACCACCATCACCACTAGCTGACGTAGCCACCACCATCACCACTAGCTGACGTAGCCACCACCACCACCACTAGCTGACGTAGCCATACCACCACCACCACCACTAGCTGACGTAGCCACCACCATCACCACTAGCTGACGTAGCCACCACCATCACCACTAGCTGACGTAGCCACCACCACCACCACTAGCTGACGTAGCCACTACCAACACCACCACCACTAGCTGACGTAGCCACTACCAACACCACCACCACTAGCTGACGTAGCCACCACCATCACCACTAGCTGACGTAGCCACCATCACCACTAGCTGACGTAGCCACCACCATCACCACTAGCTGACGTAGCCACCACCATCACCACTACTGACGTAGCCACCACCATCACCACTAGCTGACGTAGCCACCACCATCACCACTAGCTGACGTAGCCACCACCATCACCACTAGCTGACGTAGCCACCACCATCACCACTAGCTGACGTAGCCACCACCATCACCACTAGCTGACGTAGCCACCACCATCACCACTAGCTGACGTAGCCACCACCATCACCACTAGCTGACGTAGCCACCACCACCACCACTAGCTGACGTAGCCACCACCACTAGCTGACGTAGCCACCACCATCACCACTAGCTGACGTAGCCACCACCATCACCACTAGCTGACGTAGCCACCACCACCACCACTAGCTGACGTAGCCACCACCACCACCACTAGCTGACTAGCCACCACCATCACCACTAGCTGACGTAGCCACCACCACCACTAGCTGAC